CATTAGTGTATATATATACACCGTACAAAAGTGATAAACTATCACACTTTCCTATAAAATTGTGTTAACTAATAATGTCATTGCAGCACAACATCAATATCGTGATCAATCGTATGCATATGCACCCAATGGAGTTCTCGTATTATGATGTAATGTTTTTATATTCTCAACCATAATATAAAACTTATGCTATCCTTGAATTTTATCTGTTGACACTGAAAAAAGTATTATCATATTGTGTTCAACATGTATGCCCAATTTCATGTATAACGTATACACCTTTCCACTATGTCAACATACATTATAATAATGTCTTTTAATTACTCACTGAACCAGTACCACATATAGACATATTTATACTACCAAATACCTGAATAGCACAGACAGTGCAACAGGATCCCTCAGCTAAAAATCCGTATAAAAGTCTTTATTCATACACGCATATACCATAGTATGATGGTGTTGATGATGTCATTCTAAAGGTGTTGCTTCTAAACATAAATACTCCATCCCTCTCTGCTATCGAGTCACCCCTCACAGTCACAGGTCATAGCATGTAAAGCTCACTCAATGAAAGGTTTGGCAGCATACAAAGAGACACCATTTCTGTTATAATATCCTAACCTAACAATCAACCCAATAAGTAACATCCTTTTTGTAAATCAATGTATTTTACTTGCGTTGTCTACGTTGCTATGGGCTCATTATCGAACAAGACGCGCTACGGCAACCACTACCTGATATTTAGTATTAACACTATACCACATAAGAGACATAAAAGAAACGTTCATCATACTTATTTCTCACAACATTGAAGACGCCAAATTTAAATATAATATTCCGCATATAAATAAAAATTAGGTAAATATCTGTAGAATTGCGTATGCACGTGGTGGTCTGAATGTATATTTGACTATTGACTTTGTTCACAGACGAGTTTTAATCGGATGACGGAGATATGAAGAGAGAATCAAAATGATTCATCTACACTGGCAACAAGGAGTTATTTTCATTATAGTGACTATATACACATTCACGAGAACTGAACTCACTGCATGCAATTATACTTCGTTGACACCAAATGGACTAAAGGTGAATTGTAGCGGTCTGGGATTAGATGAATTTCCTTCTAATCTGCCGAATGATACTGTCATTTTGTAAGTACAAGTTGTGTAGAGTATAGTTATCTATATATTAAATAAAAGGGAACTCTTGATAAACCGAAGTATTGTCAATGTAGGATGTTACGCTGGAACCAAAACATTGTTAATTTCAAAGTTGATGCGCAAACTTTATCCAATTTATCTAATATACAACAATACACTGTGTATAGTTTCTGGATAACGAGACAAGCAACCAAAAATCCATGAATATTTTTTTATTCTACGGCTGATTTTTAAATTGTACAATTTTATTTAATTCTGATGGCCGAAATTTGGTTGCATGAGGCAATTAAAATTTTAGTATTGAGTTATATAATTCATATATGTGGTTAATTGGCATCACGTAAACTTCTTGCTGGTAGTGAAATGGAACATGCAAATCCAAGCACGAATAAGGGGTTACTTTCGAATATCAATTGCTGAACATATGGTATGCATAACTTGAATATACTGTATAAGTCCAGTGTCAAGTGCAATTGTCTGTTTTAAACTGTCTGTTTTTGTTGTGTCTGCAGAGATTTGAAAAATAATAATTTAACTACAATGAGCTTTGCTGACTTGTTTCCATTGAAAAATCTAACAGAGATGTAAGTACAACAGAATATAATTGAGATATACACATTGTTACATAGTAAAATACATAATCTAACATAGATGCAAGTACAACACAATATAATTGAGATATACACATTGTTACACAGTAAAACACATAATCTAACAGAGATGTAAGTACAACAGAATATAATTGAGATATACACATAATTACATAGTAAAACACATAATCTAACAGAGATGTAAGTACAACAGAATATAATTGAGATATAATATTGTTAAACAGTAAAACACATAATTTAACAGAGATGTAAGTACAACAGAATATAATTGAGATATACATTGTTA